GACTCAGCCCCCAGTAAGCTTCGGCACTAGATTACACAGCTACTGAACCTTGGCTGGGAGCTCCACGGAGCAGCCCACAGCCTAACTCTCAACTTTCTTCCGCATTCCCCCTTAGGAAAGACAGACACCTGTAGGTCCTATTTATGACAGTCGGGAAGCAGATGTAGAAGAAAGCCAAACTCGGGTGTTCTCTCTGCCTAATCACTGGTCAGCACCACATTTACCTGCTATGTCGGGCCCAGATTGACAGGAGACTTTTGAGAGCATCTCATCCCTTCACACACCTTTCCCCAGTAGCACTTCAGCCTGGAAAGGGGAGACATAGACATGAGTTTCTTTCTGGCTTCCTCTACCTACCCCTCTCTCTTCCCATCAACCCTTGGAACCAAAAGGGTAAGACTTTCCTTCTTCCTCTTTCTTTCTGACTAGAGATTTTTTTTTTTTAACTCTGTGATCAATCTTGCTAGGCCAGTTTCTAAAAGTTTTCAAGGGAAAAATATAAGCGTTTAGAACATCATTTCAAAGTCTAGCTTTCAATCCAATGTCTGCCTGCTTAGGGCCTTTGGGAATACTAGTATCTTTCTTTTTTCTTTGCCTTTCTACTGCAAATCTCCTAATTTCCCCTAAATTCACAAGTGTGTCTGAGGAAACAACCATTCACAAGGAAATGAAAAAAATCATAAGCACATTATATTTCTCAAAATATTACATCCAGTATAGTCTCGTATAATGCTAGTCTTTCTCTAATAGTGCTTCTGTGCTTTATGGCATTTTTCTTAAGAAAACACGGAAGTTTGTTTGATTTCTAAACTTTTAATGCCCTTTCTTTTTTTAATACTTTATATTTTAGAGCAGTTTTAGGTTTATAAAAAATTTTTAAGAAGTACAGAGATTTCCCATATAACCCCTCTGCCTCCACGTATGCCTACCCCTCTCCCCTTTATCAACCTAATATCTCACTCTCTAGGATGGTACATTTTTTTATTGAGGCTAAACCTACATTAACACATCATAACCACCCAAAGTTCATAGTTTACATTAGAATTCACTCTTGGTATTGTACTTTCTATGGGTTTAGACCAATGTATAATGATATACATCATTATAATATTTTCCTCACCTTCTCTTTTCATTATTTTTTCCATGCTTATATTTATTTTTTTCTGGGTAACCAACTTCTTCGTTTTCTGATGCTATAAAAACATAATGTTTACTTTTACTTACTGAGTTGTTCATATTAATTTCTGCATCTTAGATAAAAGCTAACTGGGTTTGTAAAACTTCTGTACCAGATACACTAGCATTTAAATACCTTTTTGAGCTCCACTGTGTTTATGTATTTTCTTTATGGCACTTCAATTCACAATGGTGATTTTAATTCAAATATTTGCCTCCCAAGATGCTGGTTCCACCATGTATAATTCATATCATACCCTTTTATAGAACACTGCCTGGTGTTATCTGCGAAATTAAAAAGGATGCCTTTTATTTTCCTAATAGTATTTGATTATATTTACCTATTGAGGTTTTTTTGATAGTGAGAAAAATTTTAGGCGTGTTTATAGTCATGTATCTTTCATTTTTTCTGAACTCATTTTAGTAGTTGGTAGTTCCACTCCAGTTGTTTTTAAACACTTAAACTACAGCTATATTTTTGGCAGGGGAAAAAATTTAAATTTGAGGTTAAACACTGCAAACTTCAGAGTCAGTGAACCAAAAATTCAACTGTGTGACTTAATCATTTAAAAAGTGATAGACACTGTTTTGACTACAAGTACTAGTCATACCAGTGGGAAAGGACGTTTGAACTAGAAGATAGAGACATAAACTCATTTTAATTTCTCTACCTCTTCCTTGATGGTTTTTATCAGATTACCATGTAGAGCAACTTGCCATTCTGTGGTTACTCACTTCTAAAATTGTAAATGTCGAGACGTACCAGATATCACCTTGGACTCCAAAGTGTGATTGTTTTGGGGGTATGTGGTTTCATACCCAAGTGAATCATTCTGCCAAGAACCTTGAGAATGTCAATCTAGTCTAGACATTTCAATCTTAATAACTGATACACCAGCCATGGCAGAAGATTATATAGCTTTAGAAAGAGGATGTGGGCGTAAAATAGTGCAAATATTAAATCCACGAGACCTTGACTAGTCATTTCCTCTGCTGAGCCTTTTCATTCCTACCATTATTATTATCACTTACATCAATAACTGTTCATCAAGTGACCGAATATCTTTTAAAATAATCTTTGCCTGTCCTGTTTGTATTTCCAGCATGTAATACGATGCCTGCTTTAGTAGCCCCAACAAAAATCTATTACTGAATGAATAATTTACTTCAAAGGACTTACAGGAAAGCCATTGTAAATGCTTTCTTATACTTTCATTCAACTCCTCTTTTCCTCAGTCTTTTCTCTAATTCCTAATGGCTTCTTGGAATTTGTCACTGATTTTCACAATATTCTCCTATTTTTTCAACTGGCAGCTATGACAATAGCTATGAATAATGATGTAAGTGTTATTGTTATTTTTGAAATAGGGAAATCAAGTTTAATTGCAAGCTATTACTTAACTTTGGGGGGATATCAGTCAATTTAGCATAAATAAATATGCTAGACATGGTCATAGCAATTAAAATAAAAGTTTTGAAAACTGGATGGTAATATTACCCCATGCTACTTTTTGAAGCTACAGTCTTTAGAAGGTTTTGAGAGTTTGGAATCAGCTGGTAAATACAATTTGAATCCAATAGAACCTCATGAAATATTTAGATGAACATGATATAGAAGGATCTTTACCACTACAAAAAAATTAAATGTATGTATTTTTTCTCTTTAGTGAGAAAAGGGATCATTCTCTGTGCAATAAGAATAGCAAATTCTTTTAGAGTCACCAGCGGTAGCATCCCTTGGAAGGATAGATATAATGGGAAGTTCCTCTTTGTCTGGGAGAGAATTATGTGAGTATCTTTTGGGTTTTGAGAACTGAAAAGAAAAACTGCCCGTGGATTTGGCTAAACCAAAGTCAGGGCTGCTGTTTAGGTGATATGGCCATATCGGTTGTGAAATTATAAGTATTTCTGTTAGTGAGTATATGGTTGTTTCCTGCTTTCTCCGCCCCATTTCTTTTCCTGGAAACAGTAACCCTCCTTACAATCAAGCCACGAACTTCAGCATGCCCAGTGGCCTCCAGGAATCTTCTTCAGTTCTAGGGCTTGCTTTAGTTTTGATTCCTATGACCCACACAGTGTCACCGGCTGGGGGATTTTGAGTGTAGGTCTGCCAATCAAAATGGGGTAGAATCCCCTTCACGGCAAACCTGAATGAGTATTTGCTCCAGTACCTAAGATAACAGGCAGAGCAGGGGACCCAGCCCCTGGCTACTATGCCATATCCACACCTCAGATACAGCTTTACCCATTTTAACTCTAGTACTCCACTAGAGGGATGCCATTACCACCCAGGTACTCAGACATAACTGCCATCACATTCTGAAGATACCTTCCCCACAAAGCCACAATTTGTGCCCATGGCTTTAGTCTATAACATACATATTCCCACAGCTTAAGCTCTACACTTCACACCCACAGAGAGTAGAAAGATCTTCAATCTCAATGGTTGAGGTGACTTTCGAAAACATTCTACAGTGCATAATATTGGGGAGACATCTGTCCCATTCAAGGGTATGGAGTGCTGATAACCTAGCCCATAAATGGCTAAGGCCAACCTTTACTGTCCCACCAGAGCAATTCTTTAGCAGACTGGGCATCAAGACAGGAACAAGCTAGTCCACACTGCACCATGAAACACACAAAAGCACCAAAGAATATGGACAAGTAAGACATATTATTTCTTCCTGAACTCAACTTACATAAAATACAAATAAATAAATAAATAATAAACGTGCTCTTATTTGGGAGAAACTTCCCCACCTCTTCTTTAACATTTTATCGGCTTTCCTTTTGACGAAAGATCTCAAGAACCTGTCGCCATTTTTTTTCTGGTCCATTTTTTTCACTCTAATGCCTATGTCTTCTTGATTCTTAGCTCCTTATTTTTAATCAACCATTGTAGACAGAACAATGGTCTCCCAACTCTGTCCATGCTCTAATTCCTGGAACCTGTGAACCTATTGTGTTACATGGCAGAAGGGAATTAGGTTGCAGATGGAATTAAGGTTGTTCAGTTGAATTTAAGATAAGAAGATTATTTTGGATTCTGGATTCTTGGTGGACTCCATCTAATTCCAGTCCTTAGCAGAGAACCGTTCCTGGCTATGGTCAGAGAGAGAGAGAGAGATGATGATGATGATGGAATAATGGCCAGAAAGATGCTATTCAAAAAAGATTTGACTCACCATTGCTGGCTTTAATGGTGGAAGAAGTGGGCCATGAACCAAAGAATCTAAGCAGCTTCTAAAAGCTGAAAAGGGCAAGGGAATAAATCCTTCCCTTGAAAACAGGGATGGGGAACATTGGGCCTGTGGGCCATATAAGGCCCAAGAAATTATTTGGTCTGACCCTGCCATGGAATTAGAGGTGAGGTAATTAAATGTTTGACCAAATATAGCGGGCTAATATTTAATTTATAATTTTGTATGGCCCACAAATGATGTTATAAATATCCAAATGGTCCTTGGCAGAAAAAAGGTTCCCCACCCCTGCTAGAAAGGAATGCAGCCCTGCTAACACCTTGATGTTTAGCCCAGTGAAACCCATGTTGAACTTCTAACCTATAGAACTATAAGATGAAATTTGTATAGTTTAAGCCATTAAAGTTTGGTAATTTGATACACTCAGCTATAGAAAACTAACATACTAACATTCCTCCCCCCCAAAACCCCCAAAACTAAATAAGAGACGTTTATGATAATGACACAGCTCTCTTGGGGCACAATGTCTGGAGCCAATAAAAAAAACAAAAAACTCCCCCTCAATTCCCTTTCAGTTTGAGAGATTTTAGCTTCGTTGTTGGTCTCAGTCCCACTAACAAATTTTTCTGAAGTTATTAAGAAAACCATCAGGGTGAGACATGCTTTACAACAGAGAACTATGAGGCCCTTTGATGCTCTACAAGTCATAGCGTGAAGTTAATGTTCCTGAAAGAGAAATTCACACTGTCTTGTCCAGTTCCAGTTCTCAACATCTATCAGTTGGGATTTCCCCATCACTAGTGAAACTCATCTGAGGCCTTACTAGAAGCCCATCAGCTGTGAGGACTGGCTGCCACCGCTGACCACCTCGGGGGATCACCTGTACAGGGGCCCACCCCACAGAGCAGGGCTTCATTAGGGCTCTGGTGC